CTGGACCACTTGTTTCAGCCACGATCATCTTCATTCTAGGCTACATCTGCTACAGTTTGTCCTGCTGGAATGTGATGATTTCTACATGGTCAGTCGTTTTTTTCTGCTCTGTTGTCAACATGTACAGTAATGGGAAATCCAGAGTCTTGCCCGTTTAGCGTTAGCCGTTAGCTTCTCCAGCCGATCACACGGTCACCTGGTCTTTGCGCACTCCACTTGTTCTATAGAATCTCCTTGGTGTTTAACTTCAACTAAACACAAAACTTCATGTTCCTCATCTCATTGCTATGGCTGAGCACTGCTAATAAACAATAACTGAGATCTACATGCTATGTTTTGCAAAGAAACAGTGTTTTAACACCATCCTGTTATATTAGCTGAGAGGTACTACATGTAAGACTGATTAAATGTAAAATAAATAATACAGACATATTGTTAAAAGTTAGTCTCACACACTTTGAGTTGTGAGTAGCTGCTGTCTTGAACTCTAAAATCTCCCACTTTCTAACAAAGAGAACCCACTTGAGGGGCATTCTATCTTAAACTAATGACCAGTACAACTGGGCTTCAGCAACAGCAGATGGTGAAAATGCAGTAAAACAGGGATTACACAAAGCATATTGTTATCCTGCTTAAATGTACCCTCTTCTCTTTTTCCAAGATTGTCCCGTTTTTAACTCCATCCATCTTTCCATTGACGCTGACCAGAAAGATCCCCACAGCATGATGCTGCCACCACTGTGTTTCACAGTGGAGATGGTTTGGTCAGGGTGATTGTCAGTGTTGGGTTTCTGCCACAAATAGCATTTTGCATTTAGCCCAAATAGTTCATTTAAAATTTGAGGTCTGGGCAGTGGATCATCTTTCACATGTTTAGACTGAAAACAGGACTCCTGCTTGTTTTCTTGCAGCAACAACACACAGATGGATTCTGTTTACTAATGTGGTGACTTCCGATGACGATTTGTTGCACTGGATTTTAACTCATGGTATCAGAGTAAAGGGGCTGAATACAAATGCACATTGCACTTTTCAGATTTTTATTTGTAAACAATTTTGAAAACTATCTTTTTACTTACACTAACAGTTATGCACTATTTTGTGTTGGTTTGTTTCATTGGTTGTAACCTGACAAAATGTGCAAATATTCATGTAGAATGAAAACATTTTCAAGACATTAAATTGTATTTTCCCTGCAAATCTTCTGCTAAAAAGCAAATTAAAGTTTTTTTTTTTAAAAATTCAGATTCTTTATTGAATCAGTTGGTTAGTAATCTTGTATGTCCTGCTTCTACTCCATACTCTCTCTCTCTCTCGTTGCAGACCAAGCTTTTGACACAATACATTCTGAATCTGGGTAAATACGACCAGAACTATGACATTAGAGACCGAACGCGCTTTATAAGGCAGCTGATTGTGCCCAATGAGAAGAGCGGCGCCCTCAGCAAGTACGCCCGACGCATCTTACTGGCTGCTAAACCAGCTCCAGTTCTTGAGTCTGCTTTCAAAGGTACTTCAGTTGTTTATAACACTAACATCTATTTTCACTTTAAAATATATTTAACCATCTTAACAGCTTGAAATTTTTATATAAAACGTGTTACTGTCATATGTAAATCAGAAAACAAGTGCTAAATCTTTATTAGAGTTATTCTTTCTGTTTTAAATCAAGGGGCTATGTTTCTCTGGGTTCAAGCTGCAGTTTTAATATTCTGTGTGTCAGTATCTTTGAAGGGCAGTTAGATCAGATCCCTTTACCTTGGACTAATGAGATCTGTAAATTATTGAGCTCATGCTAACCTTTTTCACACTGAAGTGAAAAAATCTCTTCCATTTTCTCTCTTCCTCCTTGACAAAGGGACAAAGCTGCCTCCTGCAACATTAAAATTCACAGGCAGGTTGCACCTTCTGCATGTTTATGGATAGCCTTTAACCACTCTTGTCATTCTTAATCGTCACAAATGAATGTCCTTTTTGTAAGTAAAGCACTTCTTTTATAGGATCATCCAAAGCAAAGGCTATTTGTGTGTTATTCTTGGTGTTTATGAAGCAGAGGGGTACAGCATGTGGATTAGGGATGGGAATTTTATTTAAACAAATTCAAGATTAATTGGTGATTATTACAAGTTTTTTAAATGTACAGTCTCATGTGATAAGACTAGGAGTATGTGTTGTGAATGACATGTCGAATACTTTGGACATTTACCTGCACCTTGACCCTCAAAAATCGGTCATTTTCACCAAACATTGTGAGTAAAACAGAGTGGACTGTCGGCTGCAGGGAAAGACTGAACACCGGGCGGAGATGTGGAGTGGGAGATGGTTATTTAATTTTATTTATTTATTATAATTATAATAATTATAATATATAAATTATAATAATTATAATTTTTATTTATTTATTTAAAGAATTGATTGTCAGGAAGCTCCTCTGTTGTTTTCCTCTGCTGCTCTCTGTTTAATGGTGGATGAAATAAAGAAAGTGGAGGTACTTTATTTACTTTGAGCAAGAAAACGTCGTGTTCACAAGATAATTAATCCAGCAGATAATTCAGAGGCGGTCTGTTCGGTGAGTTTCACTCCAGGAGCTGCGGGGCTTTCAAGCTACGTTCAGACCGAGCTCTGCTGCCTCTGTTTACTGAACCAGCGGCTGGTGATGTCATTACACTTTTGCGTGATGCTGCGTTCAGGACAAGCATGGAAAACTCACCACTCTTACKCCAATACGGTCRCAATGCTGCRTTCAGGACAAGCATGGAAAACTCACCACTCTTACGCCAAACCGGTCGCAATGATGCATTTAGGTAACGAAACATGGTACTGTTTGATGTTACGTGAATAGATACTCGGTAGTACCAACAGAATTTGGTCTGTGCTTAAAAAAGTATTGAATTCGGTACCCATCCCTACTCTTTACCCTCACTAGGGTCCTCGAGGGGTCATGGGAGTTTGCTAGTCCAGTCTGCATGTGTTTTGTGGACTTGGAGAAGGCATTCGACCGTGTTCTTTGAGGTACACTGTGGCGGGTGCGAGTATGGGATTGTGGGTCCGTTGTTACGGGCCACTGAGCCTCTATACAAGCAGTGCAGGAGTTTGGTTCACATAGTAAGTCGGACCCCTTCAGGGTGGGAGTTGGACTCAGCCAGGGCTGCCCGTTGTCACAGATTCTGTACATAGACAGAATTTCTCGGTGCAGCCAGGGGGCGGTGGGAGTCCGGTTCGATGGCCTCAGGATTTCATCTTTGCTGTTTGCAGATGATTTGGTTCTGTTGGCGTCATCCACCAGGATCTTCAGCTCTCACTGGAGCGGTTTGCAGCCAAGTGTGAAGCAGCAGGGATGAGGATCAGCTCCTCCAAATCTGAGACCATGGTCCTCAGTCTGAAAAGGGTGGATTGCTCTTTCTGGGTTGGGAGTGAAGTTCTGCCTCAAGTGGAGGCGTTCATGTATCTCAGGGTCTTGTTTTTACGAGTGAGGGAAGAATGGAGCGTGAGATTGATAGACGAATCAGTGCAGCTTCTGCAGTTCTGCAGACTCTGTACCGGTCTGTTGTGATGATGAGGGAGATGAGCTGTAAGGCTCTCTGTTTACTGATTAGTCTACTACCCTCACCAATGATCACAAACTTTGGGCAGTGACCGAAAGAACAAGATCACGGATACAAGCAGTCGAAATGAGTTTTCTCTGCAGGGTAGCTGGACTCTTCCTTAGAGATAGGGTAAGAAGTTCAATTATCCGGGAAGACTCAGAGTAGAGCCGCTGCTCCTCCACATCGAGAGGAGCCAATTGAGGTGGTTGTAGTTTAACAGCAGCTCATTCTGCCTGGATTTATGGTGTTTTGAGTTCACAAACTGCTCTGGTTACTTTTTTAAAAGTTACATTACATTAACTCGTAGCTGCGCTGCTGATCAGCGCTATTTTTAGAACAGGCATGGAGCCGCTGACTCCCGGTCACACTGGGGTCTGTGTTGGTGATTCTTGCTGTATCAGAGTCATTATTGATAAGGTAAACATGCTGTAGCTTCACCTGTCTTCCTTGAAAGAAAAAAAAAGTAGCTCAAAACTGTGGCATCAGACAGTTTTCATCGCACATCACGCACACATACATGCCTTGCTATCTTTGTGAGGACTACACTCACAGCCTCGCTCTGAGCACAAGAACCCACGGTGTTGGTTTTTCAAAATAAAGTATATCTTAACTTTTCATTGATGTTTAAATAGGGTTTCAAAGTCCAATTATGTTAGTATAAGAGCTCAGATATAGGATATAAATATATATGAAATGCTTTACATTGTTTTAGCCTAATATWGGCCTATTATTAAAAAAAAGAAAAAACTTTATTCTGAAAGTGTGGCGGCTATGACTTTTGCCGTGGCGGTGCACCACGATCTGCTACATGTAGGAGAAACCCTGGACATTTTTTTTCTGTTGGCTAATATTGATGAGCTGTGGTGACCATCTTGAACTGGAGTGTCTCCAGAATGAATTAGTCAAAGTTGTGCATCCAGTGACTTCTCTCTAGGAGTTTAATATAAATCAGTCTAGTGTTTTATGAGATGTTTTGCTAACAAAAAGTCAAATGAACATGCACACACACATACACAGGCACAAAACAATAGTGTCTTTCATCCTTTGCATAAGGTGATGTGGAAAAATAAACAGCCCTAATGATTACAAGAGAACATTGAATTAGCCACTTTTAACTAGATATTGATTTTTCAAAAATCACTGCCCATCCCTTGTCTGTCACTGGCCTTTTTGTCTTTTCTTCCAGATCGAGACCGTTTCCAGCTGGGAACCCTGTCCCACAGTCTCAACATTAAAGCTTCTGGATACCAGGAGCTGTCCGATTGGCCAGCTGTAGCGCCTGATCCAACTGTGAGGAATGTGGAGGTCATTGACCCGGTAAAGAACCTCTTTTTGTTTACTTGAATGTTAAAGGTCTGTGAGGAACACCAGGATCTGGTATTTTTCACCTGAAAGGCTCCTTACTCGTGTGCGATTGGTACTGGTTCAGAGGTGACACAGATCTGTCTGTTGTGCAAGGCTTCTCTTTACAAGACTAGGCTTCCTCCACACATATTCAAGGGAGGTTTATCAGCCTGCAACCAAGGTCACAGCTGTGGGAGACCAATGATAGAATATAATTCTTTTTGGGCAAGCAGCCTCTCTTCTACTGCTTTAAGTCTTAACTGTGCCTCTGTGTTGCGAAAAATGCCAATATTCCAGATTCGATTACCATCTCGCCTCTCCCATATGAACTTCACCCAGATGTAGCCTACTTCTCACGGGCACGCTGCTGGGCTTCGGTACTAGCCAGAACCACATCCAGTTTGCAACTTAAATCTCCTATCATTTGAGTCTGTGCGTTCACAGTACGGGAAATCCCATCCAGGGCCACTGACAGCTTCTCACAGGCCCGGACTGCTGTCAGGATCGTTTTTGTTTTTGTTTTCCGATAAACCAGAACTCCTCCACAGCTGATCAGCAGGAATCCGATTATCATAAATCCGACTATAAATACATCTTCGACGTCTTCAGGTTCCGCCCCCACCAGCCACCCGACACACGCCCGGCAGCCACGGTTCCACTGGGACAATTACGCTCCCCCCGCTCTAATCTCAGAGTGGAAAAAATGGTGTCAACTGCATTCAGAGACCATTTGACCAGATCCATAGTTCTTTTGTTGTCGAATGATAGATAGAGGAAAGGCTTGATCCAGCAGCAAAGCAGGGACAACAGGGAAGTTCTGGAGAGAGAGCAAAAAGTGTCCAACTCCTCTGGAGGCCAAGCAGAAAAAAAACCTGACTACAAATTTATGGAATTAGTACTGAAGCAATAATTTCAGTTAAACCTAATGACAAAAGTGTTTTTTTTATTGATTGAAAATTATTTTTAGATACTAAAATATGATTTATATTTAACTCCATATAACCGATACAATATAGGATGATAGAAAATGGCAGAGTTTTTTTTTTAGGAATTACTGGGGTTTAATTGAAATAGTGTTAAAAAATGAAAAAAATTGTGATTGTTTGACTGCAGGAAATAAAGTTGAATGTTGATCTAACCAGAAAAACTGTTATCTTGTGTGAAACTTTTCAGGTTTACATTTGTCCCTTATTACTTTAATCATCTCAATTCAACCTGGTTTATCATCTAGGTGAAAGAGTGGGCACCGTCCCTCGGGAAGGCCAAGCAGCCCAAATCTGATGACAAGTTCTACTCTGATGAGGAGGAGAAAGGAGAGGAAGGCTCTGACAGCAGTAGCAGTGAAGACAGTAGCAGCAGCACTGAAGGTTTTGTTTCTGACTGATACATTTTTATTTTTGTTGGTTTTTTTGGTATACAACATTTTTTTAGGATTTTTGCATTAGCTTCAGCTTTCAGAACATATTTTATTCAGCTTTTCTTTCTTTTTTTTTTTTTAGAAGGGAATACTTCATGTTTTTCACTCATTCAGATATATTTTTTTCTGTAAAAACATATTTGATAAATGATTATGGTCCGTATTCATTTCAGAAAAAAAAAACACTTTGTTGTAGAAATGCACATCAAAAATGTACAGTTCAGATTTGTTGTGTTTTTCCTGTTGGTGGTTTTACAAGATGACATTACAGCTGCTGGACAAATAACATTTGGCTGTTGACTTTAAGAATAGAGAAGTATAAGAAAAACACCAGGGAGGTGGTATTTTAGGCAAAAATTCAGTGTAAATGCAGGGTGCTAAAATACTGCTAACTGAGTTGTTAAAGAAGCAGATAAAAGCGGACAGAACATCATTAGCTAAAAGTAGCTAAAGCTAAAATGTAACAAAATGCTAGCTTGAAGCTAAAGATAGCAAAATGCTAGCTAAAAGTTGTAAAACACTTTTTAAAAGCAGCTCAGGGTTAGCTAAAATATAAAAAAGCTATCTAGAGGCTAAAAGAAGCACAAAGCTATCTAAAAGCTAAAAGTAGCTAAAGGCAAGCTAAAAGCTCTGTATTTCTGTGGATAAAATATTTGTAAGTAAAGTTAAATTTTTGAAAATAAAAGTCTCAAAAACCAAATCAGATCACCTCCTGAATGAACTGAATGTTTTCGTAAATATATGGTTAAAAATGCACAAAACATTCAGAAATAGTAAGATTGCAAAATAAAAACCTGAAAAGCAACATTCTGAACTCCCACAAAAAAAGAAAAAGAAAACTACATGAGTAAACCCATCCAAAACTGGGCTTTTAATGTGAATGTAACAATGTCTTTTATTCACAAGACTTTTGTTTTATTATGTTTGCTTTGTCCAGAGTCCGGCAGTGAAAGTGAGAAGGAGAGCAACGAAGAGTCAGAAAAGACCTCCACTGATTCTGGAAAGAGTTCCAGTGACTCTGAACGCAGCTCCAGTGAATCTGAAGCAGAACAAAAAAAAAAGAAAAACACCAAGAAGAAAAACAAACCAGCTGCTGCTGACAGGTACAGGGAAACAATCTGCTGGATCCTGAAAGCATCCAGTTTCATATCTTAAAGTTTAGTAAAATAAAACACATTTTAGTTTAGTTTAGTTTAAAGTTTATTCATTTAAAAACAACACAAATTCAACATACAACAAAACACAAATCACAAATTAAATTAAATGAAAGGTAGCAGAAGAAGAAAGAATCTTATAGTCTCTGCCCCTTTTTTCACAAACAAACAAATTCAAAGAAAATATTCT